CTTGCACACCCGCCCACCGGGATAGAGCCTGCAACCTGGGCATGTACCCTGACTGTGAATGGAACCCACCACCCTTCAGTCTAAGGGCCGACGCTCTAACCACTGAGCAAACTATCTAGGGCATGTCTTGGTATCTTTATCTTCAATCCTTAGCATATTACCTTGTAGTTGGTAAAAATTTCAGAGTAAAAATATTTGTGATTGGTACCCCAGCCTAATAAAAGGACTTAAAAACCAAGTGTATCTTATTGTTATGTTCTCTATAGTTGAACGTATACGGAATGGGATTGACATCCTGGTTGGGACGCCAGGTCGAATCAAAGACCACCTGCAGAATGGCAAGCTAGAGCTCACCAAACTTAAGCATGTTGTCCTGGATGAAGTGGACCAGATGTTGGATATGGGGTTTGCTGACCAAGTGGAAGAAATTTTAAGTGTGGCATACAAGAAAGGTAAACTCCAAGGAATTGATAAAAGGGATAAGAAGAGTGGTGATTAAGTAGTTTTCTAAGAGTTAAGTGAAGCTTTAGGAAATTGGGAAGTGGCTTACTTTATTCAGGAAAACTTGAATTAAAAATCACGATTTATCAGAAATGGGGGAAATTTGAGAAAGTAAGGAGAATTTCCTATCTACCAGTTCGGTGTACTTGACTTTTGGTACGTTTCTTCCTGACTTTGTGCTATTGTATGTAAGTATGTGTGTGTGCATTAATGTAACCCTACTGTGTATATACAAATAAGGCATAGTAGTCCGTGAAGTGGTTGTGTCATGATTTAATTCCATGTATGTGTTTTAATTTTAATTTTAATTTTTTATTGATTTTTTACAGAGAGGAAGGGAGAGAGATAGAGAGTTAGAAACATCGATGAGAGAGAAACATCGATCAGCTGCCTCCTGCACATCTCCCACTGGGGATGTGCCTGCAACCAAGGTACATGCCCTTGACCGGAATCAAACCCGGGACATCTCAGTCCGCAAGCTGACGCTCTATCCACTGAGCCAAACCGGTTTTGGCGTGTTTTAATTTTTAGATAATAAATTCTGCTTACAAACATTTTTTGGTGCAGATAGCTTCCTTTTATACCAGTGTTTGGAATTAGTTTTTTAGGATAGATTTCCAGAAGTGAAATTACTGAGTTGAATGATATGAATGTTCATGCTCCTCAATAGTTATCATCAAGTTGCTCTCAAAAAGGGTTCTATGAGCTTACACTGCCATTTGAAATATATGAAAGTGCAATGAATTGGTGTGTTGTGTAGTTTTTTTTTTAATCTTTATTGTTGAAAGTATTACATACGTCTCTCCCCCCCCAATTGACCTAGTCCTCCCCCACATCCCACCCCAGGGTGTTTTTCATTTGGTAGGATTTGTTATAATGGACAGATTTTCCTTGTGGTTCATAAAGGCCAATGGTCAGAAAGAAAATAAGTTTCAAGTGCTTTGCTATTTCAAGGATTCTTTTTTAAAAAAGATATTTTTACTGGTTTCAGAGAGGAAGGGAGAGGGAGAGAGAGATAGAAACATAAATGATGAGAGAGAATCATTGATTGCTCTCTCCTGCACACCCCTACTGGGGATTGAGCCCACAACCGGGTATGTGCCCTTGACCGGAATCAAACCTGGGACCCTTCAGTCCACAGGCCGACACTCTGTCCACTGAGCCAAACCAGCTAGAGCTATTTTAAGGATGCTTTACATAAATTATTTAGGCAGTATTTATTTGCCTGTTGGTAACCTGTGTCTTTCATTTTTGTGTCTTAATGCCTGGCTTGGCCTAGTGGTTGCTATAGAGTGTTAATGGAGCCTAGAAGAATTGGGTTAGGTGGAATACTATGTAGCCTTGTTTGGGTTATTCATATTAACTTTTTACCCCCAAAGATTCAGAAGACAATCCCCAGACCCTGCTTTTTTCTGCAACTTGCCCTCATTGGGTATATAATGTTGCTAAGAAATACATGAAGCCTACATATGAACAGGTGGACCTGATTGGTAAAAGGACTCAGAAAGCAGCAATAACTGTGGAGGTAAATGATTCATTTAGTTGCTGGAATTAGTAATAAATTGTATATCATTTTTTTCCTGTCTGATTTTGTTAGTTTTAAGATTGGCAAATACAAAGTCTTTTTCTAGATTAAACACAAATATATGTGAAAAGCCAAGTAAAGACATATATGGTATCTGTGTTTTCTAAGTTCATTTTCTGGTGGTTTGATTTCATAATTTTTTTGGCACCTAAATCTGTCTGAATGATCTAAACAGAAATTACCCCTAGGCTTTAAACACTAGAGGACAGGGAAGAGATCTAGTGCTTTGTGTTGAAGCTGTTTTCATCTTGGGGTCAGATACCTACCTGAATTCATTTCACCCAAGGAGTAGACATGTAACTGACTACTGATTGCATTTTTAAGTGGATGAAAGAACAAAACATAGAAACGTTTTTCTTGTTTGGTTTCCTGTAGGAATCCAAATGGTATTTCTTTTCCTACATTTTCATGGTTTACGTCAGAAAGTAAAGAAGTCAGATGCTCTTTGGAGAAATGGAAGGAGCCCTCTGCTGTCATGGTTTAGTTTTTTCTCTAAGCAGTGGTATAGTCTGCTCTAGGCGGGCTTAGCTACTGCTTCTAGCCCCTTAGTGGTGAACAGGTGATTTCAGGTTCCAGGTATGTTTGTGAAATTGACCTTTTCCCCCTCTCTTTTAAGCATCTGGCTATCAAGTGCCACTGGACTCAAAGAGCAGCAGTTATTGGGGATGTGATCCGAGTGTACAGTGGATTTCACGGGCGCACTATCATCTTCTGTGAAACCAAGAAAGAAGCCCAGGAGTTGTCTCAGAATACGTCCATGAAGCAGGTTGGTCCTTCCTCTCCCTTTCCTTTAGGGAGGAAGCTTCTTTTATTTTTCATATTTTTACTAGAGGCCCGATGCATGAAATTCGTGCAAGGGGCTCGGCCCTTGCAGTCCCGGCTACCTTGGCTGGTCCTCACAGCCCTGGCTTCATCTGGAAGGTCATCCGACGGTTGTCCAGAATGTCGTCCAGACGGTCGTTCGGCTGTTCAGTCTAGTTAGCGTATTAGCTCTTTATTACATAGGATTGATTTCAGAGAGGAAGGGAAAGGGAGAGAGAGAGAGAAACATCAGTGATGAGAGAGAATCATTGATTGGCTGCCTTCTGCACAACCCATACTGGGGATTGAGGCCAAAACCTGGGCATATTCCCTGACTAGTAATCTAACCATGACCTCCTGGTTCATAGATTGATGCCCCACCACTGAGCCATGCCAACTGGGCAGACAAATCATCTTTTAATTAATAAAGTATACATGTTAGAGCTCACCTAACCTGTCAGTCTCATCTCAGAGATGAGGAAAAAGTGGCTTAAACCCAAAGTTACACCAGCTAATAGATTTGATCACTCTCATCTGGTGTTCTGTACCTTTTAAATATAGGTGGGTGCATTTGATTAATGACCAAAGATTGAAAATAGTTTTGAAGCTTGTCCATATAAGGCACATGTTTTCTTTCCACTTCGTATTATTTTCACTAGAAGTAGCACCAAAATATGAATCTCTTTGACAGGCCTCATTGGTGATGTAAAAAGTACCCGCATTGTTGGATCTGGATTCTTATGCTAGCTTACTTCTTTGGCAGGATGCCCAGTCATTACATGGAGACATCCCACAGAAGCAAAGGGAAATCACCCTGAAAGGTTTTAGAAATGGTGATTTTGGAGTGATGGTTGCAACCAACGTTGCTGCACGTGGATTAGACATCCCTGAGGTTGACCTGGTTATACAGTGCTCTCCACCAAAGGTAAGTGTTTTATGTTTTTGTTTGTTGTTTCTTTTGGGAACTAAAAATGGAAGTTGTATCGTTTACTTTCATTTGATTAATAAAAGCCGTGTCTTGAATGCTAGGGGTGATTTTAAAATTTATTGTGAGGCTCCCCCCTGAGAGCTGACAGTTGCGTGCAAGTGTGATCACTGGCCAGAGGTAGGAAACATAATTTCTGGTTAGAGGGTCAGCCCTGGAAGGCTACGTGGAGGTGGTGCAATTTTGAACTGGACTTTTGAACATGGATAGGATTTAGATGGGGTGGCGGCAGGATGGATAAATTCATGAGCTAGAAGATAGAGGAGGGAGAAGAAGCTTGTAGTTAGCAGTTTCCATGGTTAAAATACTGGGGTTTTGCGGGGAGATTAGAACCTACAAGGGAGGACCCTGAAGCACAGTTTACGTGGTGTGGACAGTACTTGAAATTAATAAAAGATGGTCTGAAGGAGCCTGTTACTATCATATCACTTCACCTCTCCTCAAACTGGCAAATCCCTCAGGATTAAAGGATGGAAAAAATACCTGATTACTGTGATCACAAGTGATCAATTCTTTTTTTTTTTTACACTATTTATTGATTTCAGAGAGGAAGGGAGAAGGGGATAGAAACATCAATGAGAGAGAATCATTGATTGGCTGCCTCCTGCATGTCCCCTACTGGGGATCGAGCCTGCAACCCATCCATGTGCCCTTGGCCGGAATCGAACCTGGGACCCTTCAGTTCACGCAGGCTGATGCTCTGTCCATTGCCTGAGCAACGATTAGGGCACAAGTGATCAATTCTTATGAAGGAAGTCCCGTAAGTGTGTGGCATAGATATTGTTTAAATGAGCCTGCAGACCTGTGCTGTCCAATGTGATAGCCACAGCCAGTGGGGTTGTGGAATACACTTGAAATGCACCTAGTCTGACATGTGCTATAAGAGTAAAACACAGGTTGGAATGTTATTTTAAACTTTTGATTACTATGCACTGGATTTTGAAGACATGAGAAAAGAATGTAAAATATCTCATTTTGCTAACTTGTTTTAAATAGGTAGCATATTGAAGTGATAAAACTTTTGGGTATATCGAGTTAATATTAAAATTAATTTAACCTTCTAATTTTTACTTTTTAGTGTGGTTACTAGAAAGTTACAGATTGAAATTACATACGGTTCTGTTGGACAGCACTGTTTAGATGGTGCTTTGTGCAGACGTGTCCATGGGACAAGGACCATTGTTCTACAGGTTTTGAAAAATTGTCACTGTACTTTCATATTTTAAAAATTGATTTTAGATGGAGAGAGGAAGGGGGAGAGAGAAATATCGACTGGCTGTTTTATCTGTTCATGTTCATTGGTTGCTTCATTTTTTAATATATTTTTTCTCAGAATGCTTCATGAATGCGTGTGTGTGTGTATATATATATATACATACATACATACACATAAACACAGGATAGATTAGGGGGTTGTAGGAGTGCTTCTCTAAGGAAATTGGTACACATACACACATACATGTTTTTTAATCTTTAGAGAGAGAAATACTGATCAGCTGCCTCCTGCATGCTTTCTACGGGGGATCCAGCCCACAACCCAGGCATGTGCCCCAATGGAATTGAACCAGCAACTTCTTGATTCATGGTTCGAAGTTCAATAACAGCCACACAGGCCAGGCTATTGGTTGCTTCTTGTATGTTCCCCGACTGGGGATTGCACCCACAACGTTGGCAAGTTTGGGGTTCTGCTTAAAAAATTGAGCTACCTGGCCAGGGCTTTAAATTTTTTTTTAATTGGGGTGACATTAGTAAAATTTCATAGGTTTCAGGGGTACAGTTCTATAATACATCCTCTGTATATTGTATGTTCACCACCCAAGTGAAGCCTCCTTCCATCCACAGTTATTCCCTCTTTCTCCCCCTCCCCCTTTCCCTCTGGTACTATTGTCTATGAGGTTTTGTCTTTTTTTTTTTCTTAATCCTTTCACCCTTTCACCCAGTCTCCCTCCATCCTCCCCTGTGACAGCTGTCAGTCTGTTCTCTGTATCTAAGAGTCTGTTTCTGTTTTGTTTGTTACTGTATTTTGATAATACTTTAATATGAATTGAAATGCTAAGGAACCTCTTCCCTCATAACCCTGGCATATTTACCTCCACTCTTGCCTCTGTGTAGACTGCTCAGGTCCTTGTCTCTTTTTTTGCTGTGTCACCCCTGTATTTTTTTTACTTCAATAGGATGTGGAGTCCTACATTCATCGTTCTGGGCGAACAGGTAGAGCTGGAAGGACTGGGATTTGCATCTGCTTTTATCAGCACAAGGAAGAGTATCAGTTAGCGCAAGTGGAGCAAAAAGCGGTAAAACTATCTTCTTAGCCTTATTCAATGAATGTGGAGTTCTGAAGTCAGCCTTTGGTTTCTTTACCCAGTTTTTATTAACTTGAAATGAGTTGTATTTCCAGTGTGTGGCCATGACTCAGGGTTTGTTAGATACATTGTCCTACAATATAAGGCCCGTTTTGAAATAACTTGGCATTTGAAAGCAGTGGTTTTGTTTTCATATTTAATAATTATAATGGGTGTTTTATGTTAGAAAGGCAGCTTTTAGAGCATGAGAACACATCAGAAATATTTAAGGCTAGATTAGGGGGTTGTAGGAGTGCTTCTGTACGGAAAGTGCTTCTGGTACTTCCTCCTTGAAGGTGGACTGCTCTTAGTGACTCACAAAGAAAATGGTAGGGGTGGTGGGGCAAGGGGCACTGCCTGGCAGTTGATCATGGTTGACAGATAAGCATATACCCTAATACAGTGTGATGAGGCAGCTTTCACCTCTGGTCTTCTTTCCCAAAAACCCACGACCCCCGTCTAAGCATGTGGAAAAATATCAGATAGCGGAATTGAGGTACAGTCTGCAAAATACCTGGTAGTACTCCTTAAAACTGTCCGGGTCATGAACAACAAGGAAACATACTGCCACAGATCAGAGGAGACTAAGAAGACATGACGATTCGATGTAATGTGGTTTCCTGGATTGGCTATTGGAACAGGGGAAGAATACTAATAGAAAAACTAGTGAAATTCTAATGAACGCTGGAGTTAATAGTAAAGCAGCAGTTGGGTTTCTTAGTTGGGATAAATGTACCACAGAAGTAACAATCAGAAAACTTGGTGCATAATATATAGGAACTCTTTGTAAATCTAAAACCATTCTTAGAAAGTTTTTCTTATAAATATGTAATATGTTTGGTAAATATAAAAGATTAGAGAATTACTAATCTCAAAGAAAACAGTTAATGGCCATGTTGTGTATTAAACTATAGTTCATTTTCTTGTAGGGAATTAAATTTAAACGAATAGGTGTTCCTTCTGCAACAGAGATAATAAAAGCTTCCAGCAAAGACGCCATCAGGTATGTTCTCTGCGACTGCTCTGGGGATTGAGCTCGAAACTCAGGCGTGTGCCCTGACCGGGAATTGAACCAGCAACCTCTCAGTGCACAGGACAGTGCTCAGCCAACAGAGACACACCCGCCAGGGCACATGACATGCTTTTTAAAAAAATAGGAGGCCCTGGCTGGTGTGGCTCTGTTGGTTAGAGTATCATCCCATATACTGAAAGGTCACAGGTTCAGTCACTGGTCAGGGTGCACACAGAAGGCAACCGGTTGATGTTTCTTTCTTCCTCTCACTCTAAAATCAATAAAAAACATAAGCTGTGGCCAGTGTGGCTCAGTTGGTGGATTGTCATCTCCTATACCAAGAAGTGTGGTGGGTTCACTTTCTGGTCAGGGCTTTGAGCAGGAGGCGGCTGATTGATGTTTCTCTCTCTCTCTTCCTCTCCCTGAAATCAATTTAAAAAAAAAATAAGAGGAGTTCATGATAAAAAGAAATACTAGATGTTAGCACATTAATAGCTGGGGAAAGTTCTGCAAATGAAAAGAATTTAACTCAGCATTTTTCAAACGTATTTTTAGCATGCCTTTCTTTAAACTTTCTGCAAACAGGGTTTCTTATGACACCCATTAAGGAAATTTGGGGTGAGATGTCGGGAAGGAGAAAAGAGACCAAGATGGTGATGGTGGGGTATGGGAGATGGTCTTGAGCGGGGCAGGCCTGCCAAACGAGGCTGCCTCACGTAGCCTGTTCGTCCTTGTGGACGATCTCTTTCAAATTTGAGATGTGACATTTATTATCACCAAGATAAATGTATAGTCTCGTAAAGGCATGTATCATTTTTAACTTGATTTGAGAGTCTTTTTTTCTCTCTTTATTTCAGAACGGAAATAGTTGGAGTATTTTCTGATTCTAAAAGTAACACATGCTTTATTGGTGCACATTTTAAAATTGTTAAGTTTTTTTATAACACTGTGATGAACATCTTAATATCTTACTATTTTCTTAGGATAAGACATTTTATTTTGGTGGTTAGAACTAGATATAATCAAAGGAATGAATTTATTACCACAGAAATGTGATGATTACATGCTTTGCATCAAAATGATGTGTTAGACATATGAAAGGCCTCATTAGAAAGTTACTAATTTAGCCCAGCCGGTGTTGCACAGTGGTTGAGCATTGGCCTGTGAACCAGGGGGGTCACAGTTTGATTCCTGGTCAGGGCACATGCATGAGTTGCAGGTTCGATCCCCAGCACGAGGCTTGCAGAAGGCAGCCGATTGATGTTCTCTCTCATCGATGTTTCTATCTCTATCCCTCTCTAAAATCAATTATATATATTTGCTAATGGGCATAGGGGTTCTTTTTAGGGTGATGAAATGTTACGGAATTTTAGATAGGATATATATCTAAATATCTATCTCTCTCTCTCTATATATATATAAAGAAACTTGAGATGTTTTGAAAATGAAATCTGTCAGGCAGGTACAGGGTGGAAGGTGTCAATGGGGGGAAAAGGGAGACATTTGTAATACTTTTGACAACAAAGATACATTAAGAAAATGAAATCTGTCCATTTCTATCCTTCTAATGAATATATTCTCAATCACACTATAGGTTTTTGGATTCTGTTCCTCCCACTGCTATTAATCACTTTAAGCAGTCAGCCGAGAAACTGATAGAGGAGAAGGGAGCCGTGGAAGCCCTGGCGGCAGCTCTGGCCCATATTTCAGGTGCCACATCTGTAGACCAGCGCTCCTTGATCAACTCAGAGGCGGTAAGGTCCCTGTCAGATACCTGATGCTTTATAATTGGGAGTTTGAGCAGGATTTGAAAGTGTTCCCTTTAAACTTCCAAATTGTTTCATTGCTTCTTGGCCTTTTGGCTAAGATCCAGCGTAAACTTCCCAATTGTTTCAACTTTTTATTTATTTTCTTTTTCAATTACAGTTAACAGTCAATTTATTTTGTATTAGTTTCAGATGCACAGCATAGTAGTTAGACAGTCACATACTCCACAAAGTATTCTCCTAGTAATTCCAGTACCCATCTGGCATCATACATAGTTATTACAATGTTGTTGGCGACCCAGTTGTTTTAACTTTTGCTTGAAGGCAGATGTATATAAACAAAACCATTGAGACATAAAGCAGATTAGTGGTTGCCAGTGTCCCTGAAAAGGGAGGAAATGGCCGTGACTGCTAATGGGCATAGGCGTTCTTTTTAGGGTGATGAAATGTTCTGGAATTTTAGATAGGTTGATGTTTGCAAATTTTGTGAACTTACTAAAAACCCCTGAATGGTACACTTTAAAATGGTGAATTTTGTGGTTATGTGAATTATATCTCAAAACTTTAAATTCCTGAAATACACACATACATAAATGTACATAATTTGTCCAGCATACCTAGAAACTTTAGAAGGTGTATGCTTTTCGGTTTCTTTTTAAATTTTGAGGTAACTATAGGTTCACAGATTGTTGTAAGATATAATACAGTGAGCTCCCCGTACACTTTGCCCAGTTTCTCGCAGTGTTAACAGTTTGCAAAACTATAATGCCACAATGGGGTTATTGACTTTGGCACAATCCACCAATCTTATTCAGGGTTCCTCAGTTTTACTTGTACTTATTTGTATGGTTGGTGGTGGGTGGAAGGCAGCATATCCTTTTAGGGAGAACTTTTCCAGAAGTATTTTAGAAACATGAGGGCAGGTATTTATCAGGTTTGCTTTTAAGACTTTAATTTTGTTCCCCTTTCCTCCATAGGGCTTTGTGACCATGATCTTGAAGTGCTCAATTGAAATGCCAAACATTAGTTATGCTTGGAAAGAACTTAAAGAGCAGCTGGGTGAGGATATTGATTCCAAAGTGAAGGGAATGGTCTTTCTCAAGGGAAAGGAGGTAAGGAAGGCTGGGACCCCTGTTGTGACCTTGCTTTGGTTCAGTGGCTTTCCGCGGCCATAACGCACTGTGTGGGGGTTTCTCCCTGATCTCGGGGCGGCTGCATATGTTCACTCTAGTTGTCTCTGGGCAGTGCCATCCATGACCCTCAGCTCCACCTAGTCACGGACACCTACCCCATCTGTGTGTCTGTCCTGAACCGCCTGCTCCAGTGCTGGGCTTGAAGATCCAGCTGCTTCCCTGACATCGCCACTAACATGGAGTTTATTATTAAGCAACTTAAATACAAATTCTTTAATTCACATTCAAAATTTAAAATCTTGCCTTCCAAAAGTGGTGTTCTTTCTTCTGAGTCCTGCTCTCAGTTAATGACATAGATCAGCACAGTAATTCTCAAACATTTTGGTCTCATGACCCCTTTACATTCTTAATAAATGTTGGGGATACTGAAAAGCTTTTGTTCATATGGGTTATATCTAGTGCTATTTTCCATATTAGGTTAAAACTGGGACTCTAAAACAAGAATATCATGTTCAGTTAGTCCTCAGAGCATCATCACATGTCATGTGGGGTCTGGGAAACTCCACTGTACCCTTGGGAAAGAATGAGAGTGAAAAGGGCAGATGACATTTCAGTATTCTTATGAAAATAATTTTGACTTCGTGGAACCCCCTAAAGACTCAGGTTTCCAGGGTACATGGACTGTACTTGGCCTGGTGAACCAAATGAGGTTTATTTTTAACTCATTTCATGTCCGACCACGTTGGTTATCTAACTCTACATAATGTGTGGGATGAAGTCCCAGCTTTCCCGTGGAGGATAAGATCCTCTATGAGCTGGCTCCTGCCCCCTCACCACCTTCATCTCTGCCTCATCACCACCAGCACCCTTCTCCACTCCAGCAATGCCAAGCATGCCTTGTTTTTGCTCATCCTACATGCATGAACCCACTGTTTATATTTCTTTCTTCATGGTGTCCTTTGTGACTGGCTTAGCTCTAAGTCTCCCTGTGAAGCTTTCCCTGGCCGTAAGCAGAGTTGGGGGCATCTGTATCTGTCCTGCAGAGTTCTTAGGGCATACCTTTATTCAGGTAAATTTTACTTGCTGTGCTCGCTGGCTGAGAGCCTCAAGAACAGTATAATCTACTCAAGGGCAAAGACTGTTTTCTAGTTCTGTCTATACCCAGTGAGAGCCTGTTATTGAATACTTAGTAAACATGTAAATGAACATTCCCACAAATGGCAAAATCTATCAGTACCTCATGCTACCTGTGCTTATACCTGGGTAAATTGTTGGGTAGAAGGGCTGTTCCTCATAAAATGTTGCAATCACAACCAACCAGTGGGGAGGGGTGCCTGTGTCAGTTGCAGGGGTAGTTTGAATATAGTATAAAAAATGGGTACCAAGAAACAGGAATTAATTGGAGATAATGTCTGCTTATTATCAAATAAAGTGTCCTGGATTTAATTTTTTAGAAAACTTCATAGGAGGCTGAATTATAAAAAACTAGATTAATCATAGGTCATTTATTTTTCTGCTTTAGTTCGGCCATCTTGAATAGTTGACACTC